GAGTGCAATCAATGTCACCTATGATATCCATGACGTGTCAGATTATAAAGGTTCAAAACCTAAAATAGTTCCCTGTGATATTGTTATTTATCGAAGTGCTCTCAAAATACACACGTTAACAATCTTTTCTCAGTCACAAAAGCAGGATTGCAATAATTAATGACGTGTCAGATTGTAAAGGGTTAAGCCTAAAATAGTTCTCTGTGGTATTCCCATTTCTCAAAGGCCTCTCAAAATACACCCTTGACAATATGTGTCACTGGTAAAGCAGGAGTGCAATCAATATCACCTGTGTCAGATTATAAAGGGTCAAGTCCTAAAATAGTTCCCTGTGGTACCCATTTATCAAAGGGCTCTCAAACGCCTGTAGATAATTTTGTTTTGTGACTGTGAAACAGTAGTGCAATCAATATCACCTGAGATATCACCATGACGTGTCAGATTACAGGGTCAAGGGACAGAAAGGGTTGTTAATCTCCTCGTATGTTTCGGCAGGCATAAATCGCATTCCCTCAGGACTCCAGTAGTAAATAATCGCTGTCCCAACTCCCGAGTCATTGGGTCATCGAAGAGCTTAAAGGCGTTCGGCTATTTGGGATTTACGTAAGTAATTGTATCAAATTGAGGCTGTCTATTTTGTATCGATATTTCAAAATTTGTAGAGTAAAGAAGTCTATGGAATGAAACAAGACCCACATGATAAGCAGTAAAATAAGGCAAGGTAGAAATAAAAAAATGTATGTGTAAGTATGTCGAGTACAAGTAAACATTTCTGCATGTTGCATTTTAGCATGTTCAGGCTTAGCTATGTGCGTATTCTTATAAAATACAATACAAATGCTAAGAGTTTGTGAAAAAAACAGAATCACAGTCATACAAAATTACCATAAAATGTCACAAAGAAAACTTTATAAAATAGGACCATTAAAATAAAACAAAACTCAGTCAACGTCAAAGATTAAGACATTGGAATGAAACAAAATAATTGAATTGAGGTCTGTATTCTTGGCAAATAGAATTTTAGGCCACCTTTATAGCTACGATAGGAAGAAGCATAAAGGCTAGGTCTAGTAATTCTGAACCCGGCAATTTATCTTCTTGGAAATTCCAATACCTATTGCATAATCGGGCTGTGAATAGAGGAGCAATTTGCCTCGTTTTGGGCCTCAGTATTGGCAACTTCTCTGGATTGGACTCAATTCCCAATGTATTGATAGTGAATAGACGAACTACTAAACTGTTTCAATACAAACCAGTTTACGCATATTCATACCCTATTTGTAAAACCACATGGTAGAAGGACACTATTATATTATTTTTAGTCGTTTTCGTTTCAGCCAAATGACGTTCACTGCTGGACAAATGCCTCCCCTAAGGATTTCCATAACCCGGTTCTGCGCTGCCCACATCTAGGTTCTTCCAGCGACCTTCACCAGATCGTCGGTCTACCTAGTAGGGGGCCTGCCCACGCTACGTCTTTCGGCCCGTGGAGAACTAGTATTATTTTACTTGTCTAAAATTTCCCCAACTGCAATGCAGGTATCGACAAAGAAGAACAATAGTGTCAATTAAAAATAGAATGAATATAACCTATCCATTGAGACTGCCTCTCATTGAAACTTTTATTTCGCTGAGCAAGTTCCGCGGAATTATTAAAGAAGTTCTACCCTTTTGTTCATTGAAGGATTATCAGGGTTTCTCGAGCAAAAACTATTAGGGCTGTAAAGTGGGAGATATCTTGTAATTGGAGCGGGTTTCGTTTGCATTTTTAAGAGAAAACTTTGAGATATCTCTTTTCAGTTTCTTTATAAAGGTGATTCAGTGTTTTATGAATTCCCTTCAAATATTAGAAGAGATGCAAAAATATCAGGTTTAAGTAGGTAACCGTTTCCACCTTCGGCCTGATCGTCGCTGTCCTGTTATAATGGTTTGTATTTAAAGATGTTCATTACTTATTGTGTTTCTTAGTAATTACAGAAACTTTAAATCTCTTGTTAATTGACACGTAAAGAATGTAAATAATTATTTGATATTAACATGTACTGAGCAGATTCAAATTAATATCCGTTAACAGGTTATCAAGAGAAATATACTTATTTGCGAAGTGTGACCCCCGATTTTCGTATTTGTTTCAAACAGTTTCAGAACATGGCCGGCGGTGTTGCTTCTAAACTTGGTAATGGCGTAATTTTTCATTTGGGAAACACAAATAATGTTTTCGGGCTAATATCTAGTCCTGTAATGGCGATTTTATCGGACTCCACGTAATTTAGACTCGCCCTGTTGTGAAACGAAATTAGATTATTGTTGGATTTTTGTCCAATAGGGATGTTTCCTGGGTCAAAAAGCAAGAGTTTTAATTAGTCCGTCAGTTAACTTATCAAAAAATACTCTACACGTATTTTTCACTATTTCAAACTAATGAAAATTTCAAAAGATAAAGCGCGCCAAAGTTCATAAGAAGAGGCCCGTGATGTCAATGAGTGCATAAAAGTGCCGCACTATTCGACTTCGCGCGGAACTTCAACGCACCATAACTATGTAATTATTTGTTAAATTGACAAATAAAAATATTAGGTGTCCAATATTTTTTGATATTAAACATGACGGACTAAAAAAATTTTTTTAGGAAACTAGCCTATTAAATATTTCTTGACTATTGTCTTAAACTTATTAATCTGCAATAATTAATCTTCAGCTGTTACGATTTCTTCAGATTGTAATTAGTGAGAGAGAAGAAAAACAAGTCTTTTAGGAGTCTACGATGTGAGTGAATCTTAATAAAAAACGTGCTAAGCTAAGTAGAAAAATACATAAGGTATTTCAATGAGAAATAAGAACAATGGCTACAATTAACATGGAAAATGTTCCACCATCTAAGCTACATGCTAATTCTATCAGGTATTCAGGTGTAGGTTTGACAGCAATTATAGTGTGACTGGTGGGTGGGTCTACATTTACATAATGACTGTGGGTGGGCTTAGTTTAAGAACTTATCCTAACCTACATAGGTTATACATACAACACAGGTAGGCTCATACATTAATAAGTATTTACATTACCTACCTAGTCAATCTAAAATAATAGGGTTAGAAAAACAATGGTCTTTTAAAGGTTTGATGGTGTAGGTAGCCAAAATATTTTAGTGGGCCGACTTACAAACCGAAAAAACTAGCAAAGGGATCAAATCAAATCGTTTATTTAAGCAAGTAGGCTTCCGAAGAGTCCCACTGCTTCGGCGACAGTAATATAGGCCAGTGCCGAGAAGAAGCAGCGCAATCAAATTTCATACAGCTTATTAATTTTAAATGTTTTCATAGGCAATAGAGTACCTAGGTACCGCTTTATAACGTTATTTTGTATGTTTACCTTTACAGCAAATACCAGTTATTCCGGTCCGTCCTGAAGGTAGAATCAAATAACCGGCAGGCGGATATAGTTGACCCACGCTGAACTGTCCCACCAAACTCAATGACAGGGGGGCGCTACCATCGTTCAAGTATATGGTTTCCAACATGGCAAAAATCTGAACCAGCGATCCGGTATTGACGGTGGCGCCCCACTGTCAATGTCATCGACAGGACAATCCAGTATTTTGGAACTATAACATAATCGGCTCCATTGCACGGCGGCTCTCGTAAATCAAGCTCGTTGAAACCGACCGAATATTGCGGCGGGTAGGCCTGCAGTGCACGCGCGATTGTATGCGGATACTTTATTTTTTATTTTATTTATTTATTTTATTTAGTGGAAGTTTATTTTATTATTTTACTATGTTGGAAGGCATAAGGCTGTATGCTGTTTGATTCCTTTGACTGAAATTAATTTAAAATTAGATAATGACGTGTCCAGAACTCTCTGTCATTAGCATTCTAAATTCAAAATTATGACGCGCTTGCTCGAAATTAATTAGGCTGAATTTATTTGGGTCATTTCATNAAAATACTCAAGACTAAAAAAAAATTTTTTCGGGCATTATTTTTTAACGGATTTGTGATCAGTATCAGTAATATAGTCACCTCTGTAAATATGGCAAGAATGCAAAGTAACACCCTGTATACTTAAAAGAATTCCTCGATCGCAATATAGAAATGTAAAAACACCTGGTTATGAATAAAGAAATTTGAATTTGAATTTGAATTTATGATATGTTTTCAATTTATTGTTTTTTTTTTTAATTTTGATTTCTTAACCGGATTGTCTAACGAGACTTATTTTAGGTTTCGGGTGGCACTTTATGCTATCAAAACTATGGACTCGGACGCCTTTGACTTACTTGACTAAAGGTCCTATGTCCCCTAGATGGGGCAGAGGGCGTCCACAATAGTCCTCCATCGCATTCGGTCTTGAGCTTCGCGTTTGATCTCGCTCCAAGTCTTGCCGATCTTCTTCGCCTCGTCTGCCACAGTGCGCCGCCAAGTTTGCTTGGGGCGACCACGTTTGCGTGACGGACGGACGCCTTTGGCGGTTGATAATTTGATAACAGGGTTCAAATCCCTCCCTTGTAATAATCCTCTTTGCAGGAGAGAAAGTAGAAGGTGAAAGAATAAAATATTACACATGAAACTTTTTCTTGATTTGGGTTCCCCAGTTAGATCTGAATATGTTGAAGTATTATGTAGTAGTTGACAACACAAATATGAAGACATACTCCTTTTTTCCTGCCAAAATGTAATTCCGCAGTTAATTTTAAAGTTATCTGTTTCCAGATCCCAAAATAGAGTGTCTTGTACCTACTAAGTTTTGTGAATGATGAAACAGAATGACTTGCTTATGATGATGGTTTACTCGTAGTTTGAAATTTACAATATTATGGAAAATGGATCTTTGTCACTCGGTAATTTAAAGCGCACGGATTTTACTGCGATGACTGCGGCGTTCGCGCCGCCGCTGTTTGACGTGACAAGATGTTACCATGGTTCAAGCATCAGGCGTTAGGCCTGAACAAATGATGTCAACTGCCCGATGTAAAATATTGATTTACGTTATTCCTGTTTCAGATGCGGTGGCACAGTGGTCGCGTCAGCCGGCGGTAGCGGAGTAGCTCACGACATAGCCCAGACCCTCAGGGAGTGGCTGGACCAGTGGAAGACGCTGTACATCGTGAGTATAGATAATGGCATACTTAGAATATACAGGGTGGAATTTTGTAATGCCACCTGGAGGGAAAGTACTCTTAATATTGTAGATAGAAAATTGTTCTTAAAGAAAACATTCCTTTTTTTTTGAAAATAAATAGAAGTGCATTCAAATATTTCCAAAAATTTGCTTGCCACACCCGGGAATCGAACCAACTAAAATCTGTTAAAAATTACTTCCTGTATTTTTATTGCATCGATCGTTAGGGTTAAGTATAAGGATGAAATCTCTCTAACAAACTTGATAAATCAAATGAAAGGAAAACCATGAAATCTTAAATTATTTTAATTATGTACAGAAAATTGTACGTTATGGTACTGGAGTTTCGAAAAAGTTTCGAAAATCTTTGAATGCAGTTCTTTTTCTTTTCAAAAATAAAGGAATGTTTTCTTTCAGTAAAATTTTCTATCTACAGTATCAAGAGTACTTTCCCTCCAGGTGGCATTACAAAATTCCACCCTGTAGAGCATAACTACATAAATAGTTATGCTAAGTAATTTAAGTGACTCTAAAATTGACGATCTCCAAAGCCATATCGTTATTTAAATTAGTGTGAACACTTTGCTGAACGTACCAACACAGTCGAAATTGCAAACTGTATGTACTCATGTAGGTGCTTCATGAAAATGTCGCGTTTAGAACCCCGGTTCTCTGTTCTAAATGTGAAAAAGAGGCGTCCCACAAGGATTTACACATCAGCCGATCCAGTGTTGACCGTATCCAGGTGCTTTTCGCGATCTACCGGACATTTTTCGTACCCCATGAGCCCCTGGCCCACTGTTACCGTAAACCGCTACCATAGATAAACCGATATACTAAGGTTCGTATTTTTCTTTAATCGCTTGTCGGGTTGGCGATCTCAGTTTGATGGCAAGATACGCGATAGCTAGCATGTAGTTTGGTATGAGTATGAGGTTTGAGGCATGGTATTTAGCGTAAAGGTATTTGATTGAGCCCCATCTTCTATTAATCCAAAACATTTCTTCCCCAGACAAATGATGAGCGCTTCAAGTTTATGGAAGTGAGCATGCGAGCGTTATTGGAATTAAGAAGAGAGGCGGCCAGCGGCACGCTGCCTCAGGACCAGTTGAAGCGCGTCTCCAGGACTGCCATATTCACCATCGACAAGGGGAACAGGTAAGGAGTGACGTGTGTCAAACAGTGAACGCTTCAGTTCTTAGAAGTGAGCATGCGAGCGTTATTAGAACTAAGGAGAGAGGCGGCCAGCGGCACGCTGCCTCAGGACCAGTTGAAACGTGTCTCTAGGACTGCCATATTCACCATCGACAAGGGGAACCGGTAAGGAGTGACGTGTATCAAGTAATGAGTGCTTCACTTCATGGAAGTGAGCATGCGAGCGTTACTAGAGCCACAGAATAATAATAAGTACTACGTACAGAAGTTTTACTTCGCGAAGATATTTAAACAAATGTATGCTCAATGTCATTAACAATATGGTGTAATTTAGCCCGTCTCAAGAGTCAAGCACCATTTTGTTGACAAACGTCAGTGATCGGCACTGCGCCGAAGCTATAGGGCTGACTTCGGTAAAATGATGTGACGTGAGGTGCCAAACTGCGGAAAGTGGCGGAGGAAATACATGATTTAGCATGAATTATCATGAATAATATTAACTACTTATTTACCTCCCAGTGTCTTGAGGCAACTTAAAAAAGTACATTCTGTGTTTTTATTATTATTTAGGCAGTTAAATACTGCACAGTATTTAGTACACCATTTTCTTTATTTTCTTCCATCATACACAAGAATACGCGTGCGTCAGTCAATGTTCGCTCGTATGTGAGGCCTTGTCGAATAGTATCCTGTAGGTGGGCCATCGTGCGTGTTTTGTTTTCGATGTAAACTCGCGGAGATGAACAGGCCTGCTAGAATTAAGAAGAGAGGCGGCCAGCGGCACGCTGCCTCAGGACCAGTTGAAGCGCGTCTCCAGGACTGCCATCTTCACCATCGACAAGGGAAATAGGTAAGGAGTGACGTGTATCAAGTAATGAGTGCTTCACTTCATGGAAGTGAGCATGCGAGCGTTACTAGAACCACAGAATAATAATAACTACGTACAGAAGTTTTACTTCGCGAAGGTATTTAAAAAAATGTATGCTCAATGTCAATAACAATATGGTGTAATTTAGCCTGTCTCAAGAGTCAAGCACCATTTTGTTGACAAACGTCAGTGATCGGCACTGCGCCGAAGCTATAGGGCTGACTTCGGTAAAATGATGTGACGTGAGGTGCCAAACTGCGGAAAATGGCGGAGGAAATACATGATTTAGCATGAATTATCATGAATAATATTAACTACTTATTTGCCTCTCAGTATCTTGAGGCAACTTAAAAAAGTACATTCTGTGTTTTTATTATTATTTAGGCAGTTAAATACTGCACAGTATTTAGTACACCATTTTCTTTATTTTCTTCCATCATACACAAGAATACGCGTGCGTCAGTCAATGTTCGCTCGTATGTGAGGCCTTGTCGAATAGTGTCCTGTAGGTGGGCCATCGTGCGTGTTTTGTTTTCAATGTAAACTCGCGGAGATGAACAGGCCTGCTAGAACTAAGAAGAGAGGCGGCCAGCGGCACGCTGCCTCAGGACCAGTTGAAACGCGTCTCCAGGATTGCCATATTCACCATCGACAAGGGGAACCGGTAAGAAAATGATTCCTAGAACTACGGATGATGACAGCTAGGGACTGGAATTTGCTGTCTGCTACTGTCTTTCCAGATTTCTAATCTAGACCCCTTCAAGGTATGAGTGAAAACGCATTTACTGATATAGATCGTGCCATCCACGAAGACGCGCCCCACCATTCTTCCGCTAATGTTTGAGTGTTATCGGTACACGCTAAATTATCCATGAGTGCACACGCACACTACAATAATGCCGCTCGGATTGCTCGGATCAAACTCCTCGCACCCCGCGTTTCCCTCGGCCAAAAATTGGTGGGGCGCGTCTTCGTGGATGGCACTATCTATAGTATGTACAGAAAACAGCAAATCAGACTAAAGCTTGGTCCGTGAGCACGTAGAATTTTGTCCAATGACCCCAAGCTACCCATCCTTATCGCTCGCGCGTAATTATGTTGCTGTCACGCTCGCACACTCACTGCGGGCGCCCGTCGCACAGTCGCAACAGCAATATAATTACACGCGAGCGATAAGGATGGGTAGCTTGGGGTCATTGGACAAAATTCTACGTGCTCACGGACCAGGCTTTATATTTCTTTGCAAAATAGCTCCTATTTCAACTCTATAGGATCCTACAGTGTTTAGCTTGACGTCGTCTGTACCATCCTTGACTGTATCTTACTTAACATCGCGATAAACTCTTGCCTTGTTCTTCTAAAAGAAGTAATAAGTAATTCAAATTGTCCACAGAACCTTAGGAATGGAGCTGGCAGTGAGAACCACGGGTGGTCAGCTAGTCGACCCTTTACAAACCTCCACCTACAGACTGAACTCGATGCATGATGAAGCAAACGCACGCATCGATAAGAATATGGTAAGATACCTTAGTAAGATACCGGGATTAAATTAGGGGTGGTTAACTAATCCACTGTCACTTTAATTATCTGCCTTTGTAGTGTTTAATCTAGTAAAATTAGTTAAAACTTCTCCATCTTCGGCCTTATTATCACTTTTCACAAACGCAAGCCATGAGGTTCGCCGCTGTACTTAAAATAAGTGATGCACTTCTAAATCAATTGGTCGAGTTTCAAGATACTTTAAGCCTGGATTTGATTCTCAGATGAGACACGCACGTTTTAGAAAAGAAAGAAAGAAATACCCTACTTATCACAGACTCGTTGCGGGTCCAATGACAGTTTAATTTTCCCCCGGGACAAACTTGACCTAAATAGAAATACAAATACAAAATTACTTATTGTGAATCATAGGTAAAATGGTGACATGTTACAGTAGGTAGTATCACTATGTTCCGCTCAAAGAGCATACAATTTGTTAAACAACAATAAAATTTCCTTAACCTTCATTAATTAATTAACCTTGATTAATTTAATTAACCTTCATTGGTTGGGTTTTTATTGGCGGTCTAGCTGTAGATCCTGGCTGCACAGGAGTTGCAGCGGTGGGAACTAGAGGTGGGATTAGTCCCGTGATTATCACAGATTTCTTACAGTATCGATTCATTTGTAAATTAATTATGCCTTAAATTATATATAATAGTAAATTGTGTCTTCAAGTTTTGTATTTAAAACAGTCTATTTTTATGTATCTATCTATCTGTCTGTCTGTCGGCCGTTTGGTGTAGTGGTTCGAAAAGGACTACTATTCCGGAGGTAGCGGGTTGGATTCCCGCACAGTAATATGTTCATGCACACAAATGTTTAGTGTGCATGAACATATTTGTTTGTATTGGACTGGGTGTTTTCTATGTATAATAAGTATGTATTTACAAAAAAAAAGTATTTAAGTATGTTTATATCCGTTGTCTAGTACCCATAGTACAAGCTTTGCTTAGTTTGGGACTAGAAGCGTAGTGTAAAATGTCCAAGGATATTTATTATTAATTATTATTATCTACAGGAGACAACCCCCACCACACAACCAGCATCGACCCCTCCCACCGCTAGAACGTACACCATAGCGTTACGCGTCCACAACTTCGTGTGTCGGATGTCGGATGCGGCCGAACTACAGCTGTCGCTATACGACGCGGCCGGCAACAAGATGACTGAACATTTGCTGCTAAGATGGCCGGTCACGAATTTTAATCCTGCGCAAGTAGTATTTACTGTGAGTATTATGGAATATTCTAGATGGAGACAAAAAATATAGGTGGTGCTAGATAGGTGGTAAAGTGTTCTTTGTAATGAATAGATAAAATAATAGAAATGTTTAAGGATGCGCCGGATTCGATCGGATTAATATTCTGCTATAAAATAAAAATTTTCTTTGTCCACAGGACTTGTCGAGTGACGTGAAGAGAGAAAAAGTATATTTAGTGTGCCATGTAGTAAGGATAGGATCTATGGACCCACAGAATATTGATCACAGGTAAGCATCAGTAGCCTCGTATTCACTTGAGTAGCCTCAGGCCACAGATCACAGAAACTAAAGGGAGATGTGACAAAGGGGCGGGACCAGTGTCGCAGCAATATGCCCAAAAACAGAACACATTGCTCGTGACAGCAATGATGACAGCAGCGACGTCATTATGTAAACAGCTTACATTACTTGCTTAGTATCTACTAAAGATTATTCAAACTTTGAGTACTGATACCGCAGTGAATGAGCACATGTTTTGATTACTTTGTGTGTGTGAATTTCTAATGCGACACTGAGTTTCGAACTCAGCGCATTAGTTGGCATCTCTCTATATCTCTATGCCTCAGGCTCAACTGTCAATAAGAGGTTGCTCGATCTGAGGATGCTCAAGTGGATAATTATGACGGATGATTCCAGCAGTGGACAAAAGCTTTCTTCTCCTAGCATCAACTTCGTTTTGACAGAGTAAATACAAATGAGTAGGTCATCTTCATAGAAACGCACGTGAGCGCGCACGCACACACTGACAAAATTCGGCGCAACACCCCGCTAATCCCCGCTAAATGAGGGCTATCGTTTTTATACCTAACAGTCGGCACCCCTGGCGATTGACAGGACCTTACTCTACAGTGGCGCCATCTTGATGAGTGCAAATGCGATAGTCCTCCTACCACTTTAGCGCTCACCAGTTGGTGCCACTGTCTTCGCTACTAGCAAGTGACAGGACCTTACTCTACAGTGACGCCAACTGGTGAGCGCTAAAACGATAGCCCTCATTGTGCCAGTGTGTGCGTGCGCGTCGCATACGTATTGGCGCGCTCACATACAAACCGCGCTCGGTGCGTTTCTATGAATAATTATGACCTACTCATTTGTATTTACTCTGGTTTTGATGTTGATTGATAATTCTTTCGCAGACGGAGTTCCATCGCCGCCGGCGCGCCGACTACTTTTTCGGCGGCCGGCGGCATGCGGCGGCCTTTCGGCGTAGCGTGCGCTGACGTCACTCGCCACCTAGCCGCCGACAACCCTGACAAACACATACAAGTGCCATTTTACGCGTAAGTTGAGCTAGAGATATACTACCTAACACCCCGTGACTTTGTCAACGTTTTCATCGTCTAATAAATTAGACTGTTGCCCATTTTCACCAACAATCGCTAATTTTTAAGTGACCCATATGAAAACAAAATTCCTGTTATGTGTTACCATAGGTGTCACTTAAAAATGAGGGATTGATGGTGAAAACGGGCATGTATGTCTCTAATTGTAACCTGTTGAGTGAGAATGAGTTCGAATGGAGCGAAGAAGTTTAGCTTTCCTGATGACTCCTCGTTGAATTGGGCTGCCTTTTAAGGATTTGCCAACCTGGATGCGTTCTGCGGTCTGCAGTTAGGTCAAAGTGAACGCAGCCCACACATAGCTCGTAGAGACGATGGCCGTTGGGGCAGAAAAGTTCTCGAGTGGCGACCACGGGCTGGAAGACGTAGCGTGGGCAGGCCTCCTATTAGGTGAACCGACGATCTGGTGAAGGTCGCGGGAAGAGCCTGGATGCAGGCAGCGCAGGACCGTTCATTGTGGAAAACCTTGAAGGAGGCCGTTGTCCAGCAGTGGACGTCATTCGGCTGAAACGAACGCACGAATCCCGCAAGTTACTTGTATAAACCTACCATGAAACTTGTTTGTGTTATTTGCCGAGAGATGTCACTGCTCTTTGAGACGCATAAAGCTGTACCGCGGTGTCCAGATTTTTTTCCCTGGCTTTATATACCTGGAGTATTTTGACATCTGTTAACCTTTGAGAACCTTTGACAACCATTGTGAANTTTGACCTCGCGTCAAGGATAAAAAAAGCTAAGACGAATTTCCAAAAAGGTCCGAATGAGCGTTTGACAAAGGAGTATTTAGAGGGCACGTTGGAACTACTTGAAGGTTTGTGGAATGAGTTTCTGTTGGGTCATAAGGAATTGTTGCGCACTACGGAACCTAAAGTATTGTCCGAGTCGACCTATATGCAAAACGATACTTATGACAAAACAGAAGATTGCTATCTTGATTATAAGTGTAAATTGAAAGGAGCTTTATCTGAATACGTTATAATCACAAGTTCTTCCAACACTGATTCTAACCAGCCCTCTCTACAGGCGCCTAATGTCAAACTACCAAAAGTAAATATTCCGATCTTCTCAGGAAAGTACTCGGAATGGAACACCTTCCGAGACTTATTCCAGTCCCTGATTCATTCGAATAAAACATTAGGAAATGCTCAAAAATTGCTCTATTTAAAGGGGTACTTGCAAGGTGAAGCCGAGCAACTTTTATGCAACATTCCGATTACAGACAGTAATTATGATTATTGTTGGGGCTTATTAGATGAGAGGTACAACAACAAACGGTACATCTGTCATCACATTTTGAAAAGACTGCTAAGCCAGAAAAATGTAACTTGTGAGTCGGCTAGTGGTTTGAAAGGTCTGATGGACACCACAAATGATTGTTTGTCCGCTCTGTCTAATATTGGCATAGATACAAGTACCTGGGACGTGCTGGTAATTCATATAATAACTTTGAAGTTGGACCCTGAATCAAAAAGGCAATGGGAGTTTAGCATCGCGGATAATAACTCTACCGAGCTACCAACTTACGATCAGTGCGAACAGTTTCTTAAAAACCGTTACCGCGCCCTTGAGTTTTTGAGTTCAGAGTCCAAACCAATTCCTAACAAAAACTTGCCTGTTAGTCAAATTAAGGCCATGCACGTTACCACGTTAGTCTGTCCCTTTTGTAAGAAGGAGCACAAATTGAGCACGTGTAAGGGTTTTAGGGATACGTCTGTGGATTTACGTCGCGAATTTGTTGCATCTCATAATGTTTGCTTTTGTTGTCTCGGAAACAATCACTCTGCCAAATTCTGCCACAGCAAATACAAGTGTCGCATATGCAAGAGGAAGCACCACGCTCTGCTGCATCCTACGAACAAGATTGTTGCTCAGGAACCCCAAAACGGGGAGGTTACTACGGCTGATACCAAGAAAGTTGGTGCTGTTATTTCCTGCACGTCTACAAGAAGCACTGTGGATTGTAGCCAGGTATTGCTAGCGACGGCACTTGTAGATACGGTGTCTAAATACGGCCAAACTTATACTATTCGTTCTCTGCTGGATCAAGGGTCCCAATCCTCTTTTATTACAGAGGCCATGGTTAAATTATTGGGTTTGAAGAAGATACCAGCTAGAGGGCAAATAGTAGGAGTAGGTGGCACGAACGGGCTCACGACAAAGTCGATGGTTGAAATAAAAATAGCATCACGGGTCGATCCGAACTTTATTATCACAGTGAAAGCTTATGTACTAGGGTCCATCACAACGCTTTTACCTAACCGGAAAATAAGAGCGGAGGAATGGAAGGAACTTCAGGATCTTGTCCTCGCGGATCCGAGCTATTATACTTCCAATAGTATAGAGTTGTTGTTGGGTTCAGAAGCATATAGCAGGATTATTCAAAACGGAGTCATCAAGGGACCGCGTGGTTCACCACTTGCTCAGTGTTCGTCATTGGGGTGGATTTTGTCTGGTGTTGTTCACACGCCCACGAAGCCCTCTGAAACAATAAATGTGATGCATTGTAGCGTGGAGGATAATCAGCTTCTAAAAAGATTTAGGGAGCTAGAAGATGACATTCCGTTGCCAAAGAAAGGAACGTGTTCAGAAAATAAAAAGACACGCGAAGGATACTTTACCAGAACTACTCGTAGAGGAGATGACACTGGTCGATACAATGAGCGTCTCCCGGTGAAGAATGAAGTTCCCGATGTGAAGAATCCCTGGCAAACATCTGAAAAAAGAACGTATTCATTAGAACGAAGACTGAAGAACGGCGATCTGAAACAGAAATACACAGCGGTTACTAGTGAATATGTTGACATGAATTTGGATCATGGTGAAGTTTCTCCAACGGCGGCTGAAAAGATATTGTCAGATTTTAATGTGGACGATCTCATGATGGGTTGTGAAATTGTCGATCAGGGGAGTCAACTTTACAGAGAAATGAATATGATGTTAGGTAAAGAAGGATGTGTGTTGCAAAAGTTGACTACTAACAATGAAGATTTGGTAAAGACAATGAAAGAAGATGGTAAAGTAAGTCAACGGAAAGGAAACGAAGAAGGGCTGAAAAGGAAAGCTCATAAAATAATAAAAAGTGGTGGTATTACCTGGAACCGAAGTCAAGATGTATACCGCTACAAGGTCGACGTGCAGACCTACGAAGAAACTGAAACAAAAAGAAAAGTTAAGTATAAAGGGATACGCTTGAGAAACGCGACGGGTATTCAACAACAGTAGAGATACAGAAGGCTATGGGTTGTATTGCATGCCAATCTGAGTACTTTAGTGCTGATGTTGAAAGGTAAAACGAAAATTGATACTTACCCATCGTAGTTTTCTCCGGTACTTGAGTCATTGTCTTGAATGTGAACAGTTACTTTTACCAGGTTGGAGACTTGAAAATTCACAGCTTCAGGAACGTCGCGAAGGTGTAAAACAAAGGTGGACTATGCAAATTCGTCAACCTAAAAGTTGGCGATTTAGTTGTCTTAACGGTGGACAGCTAGCTACGGGTCTTGGCTTAGTGGCAGGGTGATTGTGGTCCATCCCGGTAACGATGATGTTCTAGTTGTTAGTTTCAAGGGTAACAGATTTGTCTCCTTCCTAAGGCTAAATAAGTTTAGTTTATTTAGTTTTAAGGTTTTAAGTATATTTAATATGTTTTTGTTATTTTACGGTACAATGGTTTTTTACATGATTTATTTTTATTTTATTGTTGATGTGTACCGTAACATGTTTCATGGTGGGCGATGCATTCGCATTAAGTTTCATTGGGTTGTTTTTTCCTGTTGTTAAGGACCTAGGACGGTCCTTGGTGGGCGATATGTATAAACCTACCATGAAACTTGTTTGTGTTATTTGCCGAGAGATGTCACTGCTCTTTGAGACGCATAAAGCTGTACCGCGGTGTCCAGATTTTTTTCCCTGGCTTTATATACCTGGAGTATTTTGACATCTGTTAACCTTTGAGAACCTTTGACAACCATTGTGAACCATTGACAACCTGTGTCAAGCAATAAATTGTCACCTACATATTGACGTCTTATTTATACTTAGATAAGAGTCCCTTAAGTGCGCCGAGAGTATCCGTGGTTTATTCATTACTCAAATGGAAAAAAGGGGGTTTCACACTAAAGTGGCGCTGCTAAGTCAGGGAAATAATTTTTTCTACTGTTCAACCATAACAAATAAGTGGTGCACGTAAAGAATAAGGTCCTGTATTCGTTCGTTCGTTCGTTTCAGCCAAATGACGTCCACTGCTGGACAAAGGCCTCCCCCAAGGCTTTCCACTATGAACGCTGAATGAATGAACTTTCCCGTTTTCACAATCTTATAAATTGAAATGATTGTTTTTTTTTGCAGATGTGAAAAAGAAAACATGGACACGTTACTAAAGAAAGTCCTGACGAATAGAGATCTCAAAGACGCGAAACATTCCCAAGGACTCTGGGTGTCGTTACAGCTAGTTGAAGGAGATTTGAAACAGGTATGTTTACATCTTACTACAAGGTGCAAAAACTCAGAGATACTAATTGCTATGCCCGTTTAATGGTTACACTATACAGGGTGTCCCAAAAACAATGGATAACCCTGTAACCATCGATAGGCCTCGCCATGATCTCCCAACGTCCAATTTTGTCCTAAGTAAAAATATCACCGTTATCAAGATTTTTAAGTTTTTGTGCATTTTTAGAAAATGCCACCTGCGATTACTTTTTCTCATGCCATTTCTACATTATGAGGATACTTTTCAATCTAGTTTTTTTCCTTATCACAAGGGATAGTTGGGCTATCAAAAGAAAAGATGAAAATTTTAAGTAATTGCAGAGAAGAAGGAAAAATTAATTCATTGTCTTGCACTTTTGATCAGCCATCGTGTAAAAAAAAATGTAGGAAGACCATCGTGCCCATTACCTTTAAAAATTCCTTGGGTAATTGAGACTCTAAAAAGGTATTATATCCTATCTAAGCACAGGGTGTAATCTTTTGTTTTTCTTTTTTTTTTATCAAACATGCATAAAACAAATATGTTCCCTCTCCCAGATTCGTGAGGAAAACCCACACATAGTGGTCGGCAACACAACAGTGGCTCGAAAAATGGGTTTCCCAGAAGTAATATTGCCGGGCGATGCTCGCAACGAATTGTACGTGACGGTGGTCAGTGGATCCTTCTCTAAAGGCGGCGGCAAGTCGTCTGAAAGAAACATTGAGTTGGCGGCACGATTGGTGGACAAGCATGGACGCACTTTGTCGGTAAGTTTTGGCAACACCAGACTTTCAGATACGTTCCTAGAGACTATTTGGACAGCGGATCCTTCTCTAAAGGCGGCGGCAAGTCGTCTGAAAGAAACATTGAGTTGGCGGCACGATTGGTGGACAAGCATGGACGCACTTTGTCGGTAAGTTTTGGCAACACTAGTGACTTTCAGATACGTTCCTAGAGTCTATGTGGACAGCGGATCCTTCTCTAAAGGCGGCGGCAAGTCGTCTGAAAGAAACATTGAGTTGGCGGCACGATTGGTGGACAAGCATGGACGCACTTTGTCGGTAAGTTTTGGCAACACTAGTGACTTTCAGACACGTTCCTAGAGTCTTATGTGGACAGCGGATCCTTCTCTAAAGGCGGCGGCAAGTCGTCTGAAAGAAACATTGAGTTGGCGGCACGATTGGTGGACAAGCATGGACGCACTTTGTCGGTAAGTTTTGGCAACACTAGTGACTTTCAGACACGTTCCTAGAGTCTTATGTGGACAGCGGATCCTTCTCTAAAGGCGGCGGCAAGTCGTCTGAAAGAAACATTGAGTTGGCGGCACGATTGGTGGACAAGCATGGACGCACTTTGTCGGTAAGTTTTGGCAACACTAGTGACTTTCAGACACGTTCCTAGAGTCTTATGTGGACAGCGGATCCTTCTCTAAAGGCGGCGGCAAGTCGTCTGAAAGAAACATTGAGTTGGCGGCACGATTGGTGGACAAGCATGGACGCACTTTGTCGGTAAGTTTTGGCAACACTAGTGACTTTCAGACACGTTCCTAGAGTCTTATGTGGACAGCGGATCCTTCTCTAAAGGCGGCGGCAAGTCGTCTGAAAGAAACATTGAGTTGGCGGCACGATTGGTGGACAAGCATGGACGCACTTTGTCGGTAAGTTTTGGCAACACTAGTGACTTTCAGACACGTTCCTAGAGTCTTATGTGGACAGCGGATCCTTCTCGAAAGGCGGCGGCAAGTCGTCTGAAAGAAACATTGAGTTGGCGGCACGATTGGTGGACAAGCATGGACGCACTTTGTCGGTAAGTTTTGGCAACAATAGTGACTTTCAAATACGTTCCTGGAGTCTTATGTGGACAACAACGGATCCTTCTCGAAAGCCGGCGGCAAGTCGTCCGAAAGAAACATTGAGTTGGCGGCACAATTGGTCGACAAGCATGGACGCACTTTGTCGGTAAGTTTTGGCAACACTAGTGACTTGCAGATACGTTCCTAGAGTTTGTGTGGACAGCGGATCCTTCTCTAAAGGCGGCGGCAAGTCGTCTGAAAGAAACATTGAGTTGGCGGCGCGATTGGTGGACAAGCATGGACGCACTTTGTCGGTAAGTTTTGGTAACACTAGCGACTTTCAGATACGTTTCTAGTCTTATGTGGACAGCGGATCCTTCTCTAAAGGCGGCGGCAAGTCGTCTGAAAGAAACATTGAGCTGGCAGCGCGATTGGTGGACAAGCATGGACGCACTTTGTCGGTAAGTTTTGGCAACACTAGTGACTTTCAGATACGTACGTAGTCTATGTGGACAGCGGATCCTCTTCGAAAAGCGGCGGCAAGTTTTCCGAGAGAAACATTGAGTTGGCGACACGATTAGTGCCAAATCTTGACAAGTCTGAGTTTTTTTTAATGAAATCTGTGTTTGAAATAAATTATGTAAGTATACTGCCTGCTAATAAACTGCGTCCTTATTCTTTTTGCACAGGGTGTAATATCGGTCGGCGCCGGCGTGAACCTAGTGGATGAGTTCACGTCCATAGTATACTACCACGACGACCGGCCCCGCTGGCAAGAGGTGTTCAAGGTATGGCTCCTTTTGTTATTTCTTAAAAAGTACTTGAAAAACTCATTTATTTTTAGCACGTTTACACGTCCCAGTATTAAAATTAAAACCGAAATTTTATGTCAAACGTTTAGTCTTTCAATGAACCATCGTGTACGATTAAAATGAGACCGATTAATCTTTTTCATTATTTTACGTGACATGAAATTATTTTGGCTACTTTTTAAAGACGGCATATAACCGCGTTTTATCCTAAAAAACTCGTCTAGTAACAGAATAGTTTTGTGTCGTTGTATAGATACCGACGTTCGTAATCACAAACGATGCTTAAGTGAAGCAGCAAATCGAACGCACAGCGTTAAACAGAGCTCTGTGATTGGTTCGTGTGTCACCCTGTGCGTCCACTTCTCCGTTTGTGAATACAAGCGTGAGTAGCCTTTGCTTGCCCTAAGCGGCCGGTGCCCGCTGCGGAGCGTGGGTCCGCGTCAGATGTTCAGAACGGGACACTCGCGCAAGTTTTAGCGTAGCCTCTTATAGCGTACTTAGATGTTCAATAATACACAATTTGACACCATTCCCCAATAATTCAAAATCACAATTTCTTTAAAAAGACACTTCATTGTATTCTGACAGAGATAATTTACGAAATTGGTAAAAACCAAGAATTAGATGAGAACTCCAATGTAATTATAATGTATGGTAATAGTTACTCTGTAGATAAAAAGAGTATAATTCAAAATATTGACCAACTATTAAATTTGCAAAATAGGTTAAAA